ACGGGCTCTCCCTCCTCCTCCCTGGATCTGGGCCTGCTGCTGAAACTGCTGCTGAGGGTGCTGTTGGGGCTGCTGCTGCCCCTGGCCTCTCTCCGGGCAATCAAAGGCCATGTGTCCCTCCTTCCTGCAGTAGTAGCAAATCCTCTGACCAGCTAAGCACTGTCCCCCGTGAGTCCGACCGCAGTTGCCACAGGGTGGCCGAGCTCTCGGAGTCTGCTGTGCTGGCTGACGGTCACCTCGTCCACCATTTCCTCCCTTCTTGTTCCGCTGGTTCTTCTTCTTGCCTTCAAACTTTCTCTTACCGCCACTACCAGACGGCTGGGCAGAAGACTGCTGATAAACGGCTGGCTACACCTGGACTGGCTGAAACGAGGGTGGCTGCACAGAAACTGGCTGGATCATCCTGGGCTGAGCCACTGTCTGCTGAGCTGCGTCTAACTCCAGGCGCTGACTAGCCGCTATCTGCTGAGCTCTCAGAATGGTCTCTGCATAGGTCAGAGACCCATGGCTACTCAGCACAAATCGAAGGTCCCTCTGCAGCCCGTTCAGGAAACGACGGGACTTCTTAAAGTCAGTGTCCACCATGTGCGGGGCAAAGTGACTCAGTCTGGTAAATTCACGCTCATACTCCTCTACGGATAGGTTTCCCTGCTGCAGGGCATAGAACTGCCTCTCCATCTGCTCCCGGAAATGATAAGGGTAGTACCTCTCCGAAATAAGGAGCTTCATCTGCTCCCAGGTCATAGCATCTCTCTCGGCTGTAGTCTTAAGGCGCCAAACATCTGACCACCATCTACCCGCATCCCCTATCATCTGGAAGCGGGCACAGACAATCTTCTCCTGGTCTGAGTAGTTAAGGACCTCAAAGATCCTCTCGAGGTTCATGAACCAGTCATCAACTGCTTGTGGCCCGTCTGCCCCGGTGAAAGTTGGCGGGGACAGAACACGAAACTGACCCATGATCTGAACATAGTTCTGCCCCTGATTAGGAGGGGGTTGCTAGAAGACAGGGGGATGCTGATGAGGTGGGGGCTGCTGAAAGATCGGCGGCTGCTGCTGATTAAGGGGGTCTGGCTGCTGGTCGCCGCCCCTACCTCCTCGGCCTGCTCGTCCCCCTCGTCCGGCTCTACCCCTTCCTCTTCCTCTGGTTGCCATAAGCTGGCAGAAATAGAGGAAACTTGAATTTAACGAAGGAGATCTAACTGGAGTTATAAGAATTTGAGAGGAGGATGTTCTAGGCCCCTAATCTAACTTATAATTATGCAAGTCACAGAAATGCACAACTTAGACATCTCGAATACTTAACTACTAAACTTACCTCGAAGCTGGAGCGGCACGGCAGAGGCGGGTGGTCATATACATACTCAAACTGGAGGATTATGAAAAATTTTCTAACTTTGAAAACTTTGCAAGTCTACAGAACCATAGACCCGCTCTGATACCACACTGTAACGCCCACTTTTGATTTAAAGAAAATAGTAATATTTTCAAGAAAATTTAAACTTTTCAAAAGTCTGAAAATCTTTTTTTTTTTTATTGGGTCGTTACTCATAAAATTCTTTCTTTTCTGAAAACTCTAACTCTCAAATTGACTGGAGACATGCAATAACTCAAAAATGCATTAAGTCTCAAAATACTAAATTTCATAATCCTCAAATCAAACATGCAATCATCTTAAAAATCCAATGTCTCGACATGGGAAATGTAATACTTAACATAACTGCAATGTCTGAAATAAATAACTGAATAAAAATAAACTGATGACCACACTGCCCTGCCTCCAGTGCCGCCAATCCAGCTGCTTAACCTGGAAGGTTGGTGTGGGGGGTAAGCATAATAATAATCAACAGGCTCACCTGGAGTCTATATAATACGGTCATTCGAATTAAACAAAAGATACCGTTGTAAGCAGATATAATACACAAGCCATGGTTTCAAAAAGAGTTCTAGCAACCAAAGCAGTACTAAGGTGCAACTGAAAAATTCTAGCAACCATCGGAGTACTGCCCCTCAGGTGCACTGGTTGTCTACTTATCCCTTCGGAGTACTGCTCCTCGGGGGACTAGCTAGCATGCGACATATCTGATCTGGGAACAACTATAAAAATAGCTGTTCATACCGTACGTGATCAATCGTCCGGTATATAACTGAAAAACTGGAAACACATAATTCATGCAAATAACAGCAAACAAAAATATCACAGTGTTTAATCAAAATGATGTACTAGATAGACTTCCCCACCTGGATACTCTGGATCTGCTACTGAGATGAGTTGTCGCTTATGTGGAAACTCGAGGGCTCGACTCCTCGGAATCTACATGAATTAAGCGATACTCGGATAAACAACTAATTCTGATTTGGTAAATTAAATTTACCAATTGAAGGATTTTCTAGCTTAAGGTTCATGACTTGACTTTCTGCTCTTTCTTAGATGTTGGAACTCTCGTCTCGGAATCTTTAAAAATTCTTGGAATTAACTCTTTAAAAATCTATAATTAGCCTCGACTCAAAAATCATTTTAAAGCTCGGGATATCCTTTAAAAAGGGCTTTCGAAACTATTAAAAATTGGTTTGGGCTTGGAAAAATAAAAGGAGTTGACCGCAAAGGACGGGACGCAGGGCTTTGTAGGTCACGGGAATCTTCTTAGCATGATAGGGTCGGCAATAAGGCGTCGCACAGGCTGCTATCACACGGGCCTCGCGGCACACGACGTATGCGGCAAGCGCCGGCTGCCCACCTGCTTACGGGTGCGCCTGCGTGCTTGCGACAGTGGCCTGGCAGCACCCCGACTGTCGCGACCCGACACCATGCATCGGTCTTTTTCCCGACAACTTCCTCGACCCAACGACACATCTTACGACCAACTTTTAAAATTATTTGGAGTCCAATATACCATATTTTAACATAAAAGGGGCTAAAATAATTTGTCATAATCCCATTTTCTCAATATATATCTAAGGTAAATGACTCCATTTAAACCAATACTAAAGGCATTTAAAACCAATATTATCAAGCCTAAAAACCACAA